TAATAATAATAAATGATAATCGTAATAATAATAATAATGTGATGCAATAATAGAATAATATTCATCTCATGACAGAATATAGCCATAATTTTAATTTAATTTTTATGATGTTTAATTCGGGAAAGGGACCATCTTTGATCTTGTTAAACTGATCTCGTTGAATTGTGTGATTTACGACAGACCGCACAAAGGTGGGAACTGTGAGGCGCGCTTCTGGAGAATACTGCGATGGGTGGTGCACGAGGAAAAAAGGAAATGGTGGGATTAACATTTATAAAATCAATTTATAATTTTATTATAAGATATTATACTGATAGCAAATAAAGAGAGAGAGGGTGAAAGAGGGAGAGAAAGAATATTAAAATATTTATATAACCAAACTCACAAATATCGAACTCAAGTGTCATATAGCTTTAATTTATTGGGTTAATAAATCTGACATGAATTATGAGGCGCATAAAGGAAAGTATGCATTTCAGATGATTTAGGGAACAAGCAGAAATCGTTCGGCTTAGCTTTTTTTGACTCAATTTCATGTCCTAAGTCTTGATGAGAAAGGATAAGAACAACAAAGTCATAAAACCAACCGTTGATAACATTTTTTTCCGGATGCTAAAACAATTTTGACTATAATTTTTGGATTTAGCAAGTAAAATTGAGTGAAAAAAAACCGAACCGAATAATCTCTACATACTCATTAAATCACCTGAAATGTATATGTTTTTCTTTATAGAATCGATAGTGATCAGTTTGATGAAGAAACGTTTGTGCAACTTGCCCTCGGTGATGCACAGATTTAAAACGTAGTCGCAACAATGTTGCAGAGAAGGCATGCAGCTCGTTAGGCTTGCAAAGACGGTAAAGGAAACCGTCGTCGTCATCGTCGGTGAAAATCTACGCGTGCAACAGATGAACGTAGGAACGTAACAAACGACCGCGATAACACGACGTCACGTTAAGGGCTACGTGGCACTGTTAGGAATGGGAACCGTGAATTCGAGATCGTCGCGAAGATTTCGGAAGCGCTTAAGAGAGCCGTACACTATAGCATGCAACCATCCAATGCATGTAATTCATTCTGAATTTATCACCCTTCGGTCGGAACATTGTGAATCGAATCACGCGATAGCGCCTGGATGTTATACATACGACGTGAGATTTTATTATGTGCTTTTTTCGAAGTACATTCAATTTTTTTAAATCTAATATCGTCAAGTACGCCACACTAAAATATTTAGCGTAACTACAATTTCAATCAAATATAACTGATTTTTCAATAATATCGTATGTAAGATGCATGTTATACATAAGATATAATTTTGTATAAATATAAGATATAAATTTATATGAATTTAAATGAACAGTTAATTCTCCAGCAACAGTGCATTCTATTGAGAAGCGATGTTGATTTTTCTTCCTGATTATTTTCTCATTTTTGGTATCTTATATCAGTATAGAAGAAATAATTAGGAATTACATTCTAAGCAACAAAGTTCTAAAACCTTCCCCACTAAACAAGAAACATTTCAGTAACGTTTTGAAACGTTTCAGTAACGTTACAACGTTGCTGCAACGTTATTGAAATGTTTTGGAACATTTCTTGTTTATTGGGTCTATGCATAACAAATTTATTAATTTGTAATAAATATGTTCTTTATTAAGATAATATTTTAAATTAATGTAATCACTTTGGTCGATGTAGCCATCAATCATTTTGACGTACTGACCCTTAACCGATGCTGTACAAAACTAGTCCGGTAACTGGTTGACGTATAAATGTCTCAGTCGATGAGATGAGAAATGTATTTGAAATGTATGTGAAAAACTAGGATTTCTTGTTATAAATCATCAGGTGAGCAGTAAATCTCCGACAATTCTTATCGCCGTGAGATACGCTCTCGTGACGATTTCGTTTTTATGTTTGTCAAAACGTCCGTCCAGTGTCACGAAAAGAAAGAAAAAAGAGAAGAAATCTTATCGGAGTCTACCGATGCACGAAACGAACTTGTCAGAGCAACAGCCGAACCTGTATTCCCACACGAGTGTCCCCCGAACCGTATCTGAACTGAACCCCCGTTGCGAGACGTATTTCGCGAGATTTTTGTGAGTAAAGAACACAGCATACAGCATATAAGTGATTTATGCATTTATACTAAAAAAGCATTATGCATCAAGTTCTAGTATTCTACTTATCACAAAAATAGCATAATTTTAACAATATTAAAAGGTTGAGAGATAGTCTTTGTTTCCATGAAGCGTGTCATATAATTTCATTAGAATCTCTTAATATGACATTGTGAGTTCGGAGAAATGCTATTTATGTTATTCTACCTTTATTTTACAAGTAACAAATGATAAAGGTAGAATATGACATAAATAGCGCTAATAACATTTCCTCGAACGCATTTTAGACATATAAAAAAGTTTCTGTATATAGAGTTTCATTAAATTTTTTTCAATATATTGTATTGTAATCTTATTAATAAATAGAATTAACGATAAACAAAATGTTTTATTAATTTAATGCAGATCCTTTAAAAAATTTGAAGTTAAAATATTTTTTTTACAAAAACAGTGCTTTGATATAATTTATTTTTAACATTTCAATATTTGATTTCTGTTACTGTTTATTAATATCTTAATTTATATCTAAGGAAATTAAAATTTAGTTTAAGTTAAAAGTTTAAATTAAGATTTCTTCTTCAAATTTCTTAATGTAAATTAATACAATGCAAGTAATCAAAACTGACATTTCTGCGAATGAGTTATTTCTTTATTATTTCAGAATTTGGAAATACAATAATAACTTATGTCATTATGTCAACAATATATCAGTCAAAAGGAAAATTAAATGCAAGCTTAAAGACGGTGAAAGTAATTATCGCATGCAAGCCAGTTAAACAGCCAGAACATTCTTGATAGACGATCACCTGCTGTACTAATCCTTCTAATCCTTTCTCTTTTATTTGATCATGAACGTCCTTACTGGCACACTTGCAGATTCTCGGCATCTAGCCTTGGCTTTTCCCAGAGAGTCTACTATTAATGGAGAATGTTAAAGAACCCGAGGTTTTTATTTAGCATCCGGCAATCACAAGACTTAATGATACTTCCGCATTTGTCTTTAATTTACGTTATTAAATTAAGTATTATATCTATTAAAATTTTAGTAAAAATTTAAGTAAAAATGTTTGTATTTTTATTTTTGTATGTTTAATTTTTTATTTTTGTATCTTTTGTTTAATTATTTTTTCAATTGACTTTGCGATTCTATCTTCCAGAATTGGACTTATTACATATTATATATTTACTTTACAGACAAATATTTGGCATCTTTTTAAATATTTAAAATTTAATATATTATTTTATATTTAACGTAGAGAGAGATGATTATTATAATAGATTATAAATATCAGACACGTGTACAAAGTAACATATTACATCTCTTCGTTTTGCGCACCTATTTGCATTTGACTTTTATTTACATTTCCTTTTTAACTTGTTGGATTTTGTTATTGTTTAATATCAAGCAATCTATTTTCGCTTATTTATAACATATTATATACATAACATGATATGAGCAAAGACTTTAAATCGATAGAGTGTATTAAATGCTGCACGCTGTGAAAACGGGTCGAGATCGAACTATGCGGACAACGAGTTAATATTTAACGACAACGAATTTGCGCGTATAAGTTCTTTGTGCAGTCACTCCAAGCAGACTTACTCGGCGATAGATCGCGTTCCTCGTACCTATTGCCTCTTGAGCAAGAAACGAACGTGGATAGGGACTACCATGTCCTCGGTGTCCGTTGTTGCGACAGTAAATGTTCTGTCGCGTTTCAGTAAACACGACATCGACATGGCGAAATGCAGTTTTCTATGGCTTGATGATGACGAAGTGGTTCTGTCGAGCGAACATTCGTTTCGACGCCCAATTATATATACGATTGCCATATGTTTCTCTGATTTCTCGGTTCTCTTATGAATCGTTGAGGATCTTCCGCTATCTATGCTTGACGTCGCGATACTTCTACTAAATGATTTGGCGATATATTATCAAGGTTTAATCTTGCTTCCAGGTCGTAGAATGATTTTATTCGTTTTGCTTCCGAAATACTGGTCCTTAATCAGAAATGCAATCTTTCATATTGAGTTCTGTCGCGTAAGCTTAATTCCGGAGCCAGCTCAAGCAACAAGTCGTAATATCTCGCCAACGCACATACTTATTTCAACTGTATATTCGATCGGCCTTCATATTTTATGATTTAACCGGTCTTCTGCGTACTTTACGATTCAAATGACTGCGCTTTAGCGATCAGTTTGGCTGGAAGGGACACGACATGGGATATCGTTTACGATGACTATCGAAATAATCGACTTGCCAATTTAATTTCTCCGTCACATAAGTCGCTATAACGAAATGCAAAGCTGAAATCGAGATGCAGGATCCAAAGAAAAGATTTGAGAATTCACATAAACAATTTTTATCAATATATATAATATATCTCCACGACAATATCTTTTGTATATAACCGGTTTACTTTCAAATGCAGCAATATTATTATTATTATTATCGATCAGATTGCATATTATTTACTTCTTATTTCTTATAAAATATTTATTTTACATATATAAAATTATTATATACATATATATCGTATATACACACGTGTATTTAATAAAAAAATAATTTTGTTTAAATTAATCAAATAATTTGGTCAAAAATAGATATTTTTAAAACTTTCTTAGAAAATGATTTACAATATATATATGTGTATAGTATAATATGTAAGTAAATCTTAATTTACCTTTTCCTAATAATAATCATAAGATTCAAGTTGTTGTAAAACAATTTTTACGTAATTTACAATTATTATTCAAATTTATATGAGCTAATTATATCTCAATATATAAAATCAATTTTAATTTATAAAATTATCAAACAATTAATCTAAAAGTTATTTTTTTTAATTAAAAATTAATAATTTGTATTTTAGGAGACGAGTATGTAACAGGCAAGCTCCCGCAGTTTCTCATCATCATCGAGGAAGGCAAATTAGGCATGTTATATGTCTTGCAAATTTAAAAGCTTTTTAAATCAGATAAATTAACTTATTTTATCTCATAATAAATCCTACAAAAACTAATAGTAACATATTACATCAATATTATAATTTCCCACTCAAAAATGTAAATGTAAATTAATACAAATACTTGTACATAACAGTTACATTGTTAAACAGAAAAACATTGACGTAATATACATATAGTATGCTATTGTTAGTTTGCATTTTTCAGGATACTATCTAAAAATAAATATTTATAATCTAAACATGCATAATACAAGCATATGTGTATTTTGCGTATTTTATATGTTATATGAAAGGAATTTATCTATATATTCTATATAATATATCTTAGATTAGTATACACTGAGATGACTTCCAATTTCTTTTGCTGCCCGGGATGGTCACAAGTTACTCATTTGAGTTTTGGTTGTAATAAACGTAAGTAAATTTGATAAAATTAATTTTCAATTTTCTTATAGATCTACATATATAATTATAGAATAATTACATTTGGAATAAATTACAAAATTTTATTAATGCTATACAAATTAATGCTATTATTTTAAACTAATTTTAAATTAATAATTAAAAAAATATTTTATTGAATTATTAACAAAATATACTATACTAAAGTCTATATTATATACCTCTTTTTGTTGACTAAACTGTGTATTTTTTCTTAACACTATATGAATTTATTAATTTCAATCCTACTGTTTTTCACAGCTACGTGTCCAATGCCATGTTTGAATGGTGGAACTTGCACATCGCCTGGAAAATGCACGTGTCCCAAAGGATTCACTGGTAATCAATGTCAAACAGGTATAAATTTTAATTTTATTTACAAATTAGAATTATAAATATTCAGATCGCGTATATTATTACGAATTCTGACGTGAAATTATATAGTATTATTAACTTATAAATTATATAGTATTATATTTAGATGATGTTATATATGTACATTATCATATTTGTATAATTAATATCTTAAATATTAAATAGTATTATATATAATATATTTATGGCCCGTACACATAATTGAATAGTTAAAAATGAATGACATTGTCTTGTATACTCCAACAAAAATAATTATAGTCAAATTGACGTTCATTGACATCGATAGCACTAATCAATCGATACTAATTCAATTAATTATTTCTGGTTGGATAATAAATCAAATATAAAAAATTTATTTCTGGTTGGATAATAAATCAAATATAAAATATTCATTTAATTGAAATATTTAGTTTATAAATTGTCTCAAATTAAATGTGATAATATATTTATATGACGAAATCGAATACTATCAACACAAGTATATAGTAAAAAAGAAAATGTTAATTTTAACATCTTTTACATGTCCCAGGAGATCCACTCTAAATTTTAAGTTAAAGTAACTCGTCTTGTGTTATTTATTAACGAACTAGTAATGTTAAATAATTGACACAATACTTTACATTTATATTTATTATTTTGACTTTAAGGATGATTTAAAACTATCATATAAAATAAGTAGAGTATATAGAAGAGTAATTGCAATAACTAGTAAGAAAATGTTAATAAAACATATTTGTTCGTATAATGTGAATGAAAAAATTCTTAGATATTAAATTGATTTTGAGATATATAAATTAATTGAAACAATTGTGTGTTAAAAACACTCAAAATAATATTCCATTTTTAATTGATATACGCAATTGTTAAGTTAGAAAGGTGACATGAATAACACATCAAAATGTTATAAAAATAATAACATATCAGTTGTATGTTTATTTTACATTGAAGTAATAATCAAAATGTGGTAACACAAGAAAAATTCTACATATGGACGCACGATTTTTTACTGTGTATAGACGAGAAAAGTTTGATAATTACAATGTCATATTTTAAATAAGTCGCATTTTTGTAATGATCTCAATCTGAATAGTAAATAGCTCACATAATATATACAAGGGAGATTAGAACATTCATGTAGCGCAAAGAAATCGATTGTAAATCTATTCTAATCGAGAGCGTGCAATGTGATTGCAACCTGTCGATGCAGCAGGACATGCAGGACAACGCAATACGTATTGTGCTGCAGTTAGCTTGGCGTAATAGTATCAAGAAGTATATCGTTCCACGTCGATTTAATTACGTCTGACGATACCAAGCACGAGAAGGCACTCGTAACCAACTAATCGATTGAATGTTCTTTATGCTTTAACGAGACTCATATATATATATATAAAATAACTACGCTCATATGTCATTATTTAAGATCAATTGTGTCTAGTTATATATTATTATCTAGTTAATTTTGTAAAACTACGAGTTCAATGAAACGCTAAGGAAAAATGTATAAAAATGTTAATGTTATATAAAAAGGATATATTAATATTAATATAAAAAGGATATAATTTTTTATATTAAAAATGGCTGATCGTTTAAATTCAAAATAAACAGCATTCACATTAACGTATGCACTTAATAAATAATAAACTAAATTTGATTGAAATTAATACATTTCTTGAGTTAAAATGGGTTTAACTTTATTGTTTTTTATTAAATAAAAGAAATTTTATATTTGGCCAAAGCGGGTCTTAGTGCTTAAAAAGTTTTTGTGTGAATTTATATACATATCTAATTCTGCAAAACGCGCAGATCTTTTTCTTAAAACGTAATCATGAGCAGAACCAGAGTAATAACTTTTCTATTTAATAATATATAATTTAAAAAAGTTTTTTCATTTTCTAGTAAGGTAATGTATCGCTTTCAACATAAGTATTTTATAAAAATGAATTAAACATTATTTTTGTGTGCAGATGTGGATGAATGTGTGATAGAAAAACCATGCGGACAACTTTGCTCAAATTTACCTGGTAAATATCGATGTCACTGTAGAGTCGGATTTCAACTTCAAGAGGATGGCCAATCTTGTCGAAGAAATGGTAGGTTTGCAAAATTTGAATCTTAAGACCGAATTTTTCGAAGAACTTCAATAACTTTATGGATCTCAAAGCACTACCAAAAATATAAAAATTTCATAGAATATTCTATTATTACATAACCTATGTAAAATGTTTTATTGAGCAATTATTTTATTCATTACTTAATTTTTTATTTGCCTTCATTCTTAAATAAAACGGCGCTTTGTAGTACTTATTTATAAGTCTGATAAGATTATAGCATTACGGGTTAAATCAATTTTTTATATATACTAGTAAAATTCTAATATTCGTGTAAAAATACATTTGGATCCAATTACTTGTTTAAAAGTTAGTTTACTTAAACTACAGTAAAATTAAACATTTCGTTGTATAAAACCATTACATTATAAGTTAAATAATTTTTGTTTCTTTGCAGTTTTCAGAACAAAAATTTTTTGGATGATATTAGTTGATATCACAAACTTCTATAACTAAACAGCTGATAAAATATAATGAAAGTGATTCTGATTCCTTATTCCCCTATTCTTCCTTATTCCCATTTAATTTATGCACATATACCACTATATATTACTATTATATTACTGTGTAATTTAAACATATGTATGAGTAGATGCACAATATCTTCAAACATAGCAGCGAAGTCGGCAGTCTATGTATAGAAATCTGTAATCGATACTGATTATTTTTAACTGATTTTTTGGCTGATACTTTTAGCTGATAATTCAGACAAAACATTCTTAAAAGTAGATTAATTTTTTTACAGACACCGACGAAAATGCATTTGAAGCACGCGATTTGGAAACCGATGATGTGTCCACAACAAAGGATCCAACAACTTTTCACGGTATTATTTTCAAAAAGACTTAAGTACCTCAAATTTTTTAATGTACATGAAAGATCCAATTATTTTATTTTAGTGCTCTACCGGCACCGCACAAAACTTTGTACAAATAAAAAATTTAGATTTTTTCTCGTGTTTCACTCACAAAAATCTTCATTTTTAGGTGCTCAAATTATTTTTTTGAAGTCAAACACTATTGTACATTTTTTTTCTGAAATATATACTCTAAAATATTGTAGTCTAAAAAGATTTTTTTCGTTCACTTACATAAAAGTTATAAATTTTTAACCGATATTTTATCAAAACTCTTACATATAAATTTGTAAAGAATAAGTAAAATACTATTGGTTTCTATTTTACTAAAAACTTATTTAAAAACTTCACAAGAGTACACAATTTTTTTTTCATATTTTTATATAGTTCAGAACAAAAAAATCTGTTGTGGATCTTAACAGTCAATTATGGACTATATACTATAGGTAGCCTATGATCGAAAATTTCACGTTGCCAGTGAAAGATTAAAATGGTTTAAAATTAGAATTTTTATTTTATAAAATTATCAAAAGTTAAAATTTATAGAATTGTTGCATTATTTTGCGAGATTGATTAAAAGCTAGAAATAAACCTATTGTTCACATTTTATTTGTGAACGTAATATACAATTCATATTAGTAAAACGAAAAGTTTATAAAAAATTAGTTAATATATAAAATAATAGACTCAGTATTGTTGAATTGCAGATACAGAAAATGAAGTAAGCGATGATGATCAAGACTACGAGGTCATTTTAAAGAGGTTGATCAAATTGGAAAAGGTACGTCATATAAAAATGATTATTAATATGTATTATGTTGTTGATGAGGAAATATATTCATTTTTCAGCAAGTAGCCAGAAACAGAAAGAGAGATACAGAGGCTTCTGAGATGAACACCAAAGTTACATTGGCAATTGAAAGTGTTAATGAGATGAAGAGAACCGTCGAAAATGTGGTATTTATAAGAAATATTGAAATATATTTGAATCTCAATATAGTGCATGATAAAGATCTCGCAAATACTTTCCGCCAATTAAAAATTCAATACATGGATAAGTGTGTATAAGAGGATGCGATTAATTTTTTATTTCCTTTTAGATCTATTTTGCTATTAATCTGAGAAATAGTATTGTTGAATATTATTTCATCCTTATTATATATGTTATTAGTAGTGTGCACTAGTATATTTTACATCTAAAATAATAAAAAAAGAGATTTTCAGCATTGAATAAAAAATGCATATGATCTTGATATTCTAATCTAATATTAGAATTTGTGTATTCTATTTCTTAAAAAATCTATCAGTTGATCTAATAATAATGAAAGATATAGTGAAAGATTATTTCAAATATTTTATCTTGAAGAGAAGTTAACAAATGTTACAACTCGGTAGTACCATTTCAGTTTATTTTCTTTAATTTTTATTTTAAATTACACTATATTGAGATCACAGTGTATTGGTAAAACGAGAATATTAATATTATGAATTTTGAAATTATTTGTTTTAGCAACTGATGCAACAAGAAGTATACGATATGAGAAGCAAGATGAGACAATATGAGGCAGAAATGAGAAAGATACATCATCTGATGAATCGTGTCGCGGAATTAGAAAATCGTTTGAGAATACGTTGCAGATATCAATAAATCGTGGATAGTTAAACTTTTAGCGCTACTAAAGCATTGTTAAAATGATCAATACAATTTGTTAATAATAGTAGTAATACTATTTTAATACGAAATAGTAACCTACTATTATATTAATAGTAAATAGTGTTACTACTATTTTATTTAACAGTAGATAACAGTAATATTCTTTTCACGAACTTTTTACTTTTTTGGAATAAGTATAAACGACTAATAATACTTTCGGATCAGAGATATGTTTATATATATATACAAGAAAATACTGTACATTTAAAAACTGAATATTTATTTTTTATTTTTTAACTATAAAGCAATGTTGTTTCTTTTAGTGTCAAGGAGCTAACATAGTAGTAGCTGTAAGATTTACGCGGAATTATTTCTGTCGTGAAATATCACTGCCAGCATTTAGTATATATATAATATTTCTTCAAGCTAATAATAGTAATAGTACAATAAAGTTTAAATATTAATTATTTGTATTCGATTTTATAATAAAAAGATAAATAAAATAGGTTCTCCATTTTTGTATTCGTCTCTCATATTAATTATATTATATTCTTTTATTAATCTAAATTTTAATAAAGATGAAAGTGCATAATATAGGTTTGAAATAATATATACATATATATAACCTAGTTAAATATTATATGATCATTACTATTTATGTAATTATTTAAAAGATTTTTTCAACAAACACTATATAAAGTAAGCAACTCACAATTTTGTTCAATTAATAATATACTTGATAGAGAAAGAAAATTTAAATATTGATCAAAATTAATATTATAAATAGACATACACTGCGAATATTATAGAAACATTTCACTTTTCAGTCATATTAGCCTGAATATACTTGTTAAATGTTTTTAGAAATAAAATACTTTCTTCTCTTCCTTTTATTAATTTTTATTTTTATAAAAAGAAAAAGCAATATACTTAAAAATTAATTTAAAATATACTCATGACAAATTTTATTTATCTTTCTGAATCACTTTCTTCTGTCGTCTAGTAAGCCTCTTGCCTGTTTTGCCTGTTTTCTTCGTTTTTGCTCTACCTTTTTTGTGCTTGACTATCTTTCTGTGGTTCATCCATACAGGATAATTGCCATACTGATCCCGCAATGTTTTCTTATTATATATTCTAGCGCCTTCTACTTCCATTTGTTCTTCACCTGTCACAGTCGTAGACTTTACATCCTTAACTTGTTTAGCCTTTACATCTTCTTTTACCTTCTTAGCGTCGACAACTTCAATTTCAGAAATAACAGAATATGAAATATTATCGCATTACATTATAATATATACAATAATACAAAAAAGTTATAAGAATTTAGATGAACAACTATTAATGCATTAGCGTAATCATACCTGTAGCAATTTCAGTAATCTCTGTCATTTCAATATCCTTAGATGCATTATCATCAATACCAAGAGTCTTCTTTAATCTAGCTAATTCTTTTACTGCGTAACGTTCTCTCTTGATCGCTCTGCATTTTCTTTTCCATTTACTGCGTAGAGATTTAGCCATTACTCACACGTGCGTCGAGTAGTTGAACGAGAAAGGTTATGTTACAAGAAACCTGTTCTTACTTCACGGGTGCGATCTACTTAACGGTGCAAATGCTTCTGGCCAATCAGAAGAAGGAATTTTACGAATTGTCCAATCAAAGAGTGTCTTAAAGCATTTGCAGTGTAAAGTGGAACGCACCCTTTGTCGCTGCAATGAATATAGGCACAAAGAAACCCGCGTTCAGCCGAGTTGTGAGAGAAGCCATCCCGGCGGTCCCGGCCTTTTTCATGAGACCATTGAAATTCTCCATACTATCGCCAGTAGGTATATTCATTTTCAAACTGGATATTACGTACAGAGAGAAATCTGATAGAGGACATGAGGGCTTTTTTCCCGCAAAATGCCTCCGCATACCACTGCCCTTTGAAAAAGTGGATGCAACTACACAATATTCATTTTTTTTCGGTGCTTTTGATGAAAATAAATCGCTGAAAACGTTGAAATCTATAAATTTGATAGATTTATTTCAGCGATTTATTTCCGTCAAAAAGTGGATATTATTGTAAATTATATATTTAAATTCACAGTGCAATATGCGAAATTTGTTAAATTCTAAGTACTAATTGTAATAAGTTGAAATATGATATTAATTGAAATAAAACAGTGATCTGTAATTGTTGTATTCTATGATTCTGGCGTATATATTTTGTTTTTGATTATTATTAATGAAATAATAGAGTGCGGATTATGAATGCGAAATAAGACGTAATTATGACTGCAGAATTAAACGATTTAAAAGTAACGAAAAGCCACAGTCTATCTTTTGTTACAAATATTGCGTATATTGGGCGGGTTTCGTGTAACAAAAAGTTATAACTAATTATCGCGTATTGTAATACAATTTGAAATATCTAAGATATAGATGAGTTGTATAAGATGTTATGTATGAGTGCGTATAACGAATCTGAAATAAAGCAATAAAGCCTATTCATCGGAGAATATAAAAAATATAACGAATAGATTCTTTTACTTTTTTCGTAATATACGTTAATATTTCGACGGTTGGCGTACCGCCTTGGAGTTAGTTTTGACGCGGTAGGACGGACGGGCGGTGCGTCATGTTTACGCAGTTTACGCGCAGTCACGACTCCGCGTGATCATTCACTTACCGACGCTTGGCCGTATCGTCCTCCTATCATTTTCTTTGGAGACGAGAGCTAGTAAGTAAAGAAGAAGAAGACTTAACGACGCTTGTGTAGGCAGCCGCGTGCCGCTCTTCTTCACATAATTCTTTTTGAAACATATTTGCCACAAATATTATAGCAGATAATACGAAACGTCGTACTTTAGATTCCAAACACTTATTTGAAGTATTAAAAATAAGGAATAAATCAGAAAAAAAATTTTTTTTTAATAATAAATACTAAATAATTATTTTATCTTTTTTATTATATAAGTATATATATATTTTAAATAATTTTATTTTAAATACTAGGTCCTGTATATTAATATATAGATAACTTGTCTTTATACTGAGTGAAAAAAAGTATAATTTATAAATTAGTATTTTTCGTCGCGGAAGGAAACAATTTCATCTTATATCGATTTTCTTGAATCAGAACTTAGCTTTCTAGTTTTAGCGTCCCGAGTTGTATGTGATACCATCATTATATCGTGGTACTTCGAAGAAAATATTTGAAATTAATTGTTTTAGAATTTTGAATATTTCTTATCAATTAATGTGCTGACAAAAGGCAAGAGATAAAAAGTGGTTTGCTAGCGTGGTTTTTTAACATAATTGCTCACGTGAAGTGTTTCTGACATCCCAAAATTAGAGATATCTCGATTTTTATTACTTTCTTTAATAATTTATAATTAAATAAAGATTGTGATCATATGTTATACATTCTTTAAATAAAGATAAATGCAAACAATTTTTTTTTAATTATGAAACAATTTGAACTAAATAATAGAATAATATACGTATATGAATAGCATTCATATACATTTAGCGATAAATAATTTAAATATATGATTTACCTATTATCTACTTTTCCCGGATTAAAAATGAGGAATAAGACGTAAATGATAGAATTAAACTATTAAAAAGATAACAAAAAGCCGCAAGGCATTAATCTTTTATTAAAAACATTGTGTACTTAGTACACAAATTTATTAAATAAGTCAGTCAAAATTGAAGCTTTAACTGAAGTAATAATTGAATATATATATTAACCTCTTGCTCGTGAAATTTTTGACATTACATTTTTAACATTACAAAATTACAGGTATATCTTAGTAATTTATTATATGTGAAGGTCTCATTTGCTATCCTTTGCGTTAGATGGTTGCCAGTGAATGCGTGGTTTGTATCGATGAAAAGTCGTAATTATTTTCATCATGGAGAGTTAGGGAGCGTTTATATTAGCCGTAACCGTATGTCATATACCGTAATCTGTAGGAATTGACTAATCACAATCAAGTATTCCTCTCTCATTCGGCGGTAAGAAGGGAAGACTCGAAGGTGATTGGTTAATTTTTACAGATTATGGCATACGGTTACGGCCAATATAAACGTTTCCTTATTCCTCGTCGTAAAGTCCATTCATAATGTCTAGTTTGTTGCTCCATTGGAGATTCTTATGCAGGATCGCAATTAATCCTGAGTTTTCTCAGTTCCTGGAAGTAATAATTTTACCAATGAGTCAATAACAATTGCTATATATTTTAAAGTCAAGTTAAGAAATTAATTCAATCATATATTTTAGGATACAATTTTCGTCGCGTTCTTAATTGTGTGTGTGTGTGTGTGTGTGTGTGTGTGTGTGTATTAAATGTTCTTCCACTAGTAATAATGTTATTAATAGTACTTAATGACAATCGGAATTTAATAATATCTGGAGACACAGTAGTGGCTCGGCGTATGTGATTAAAATATGCATATATAATTATTTGTTTAAATCCTAAATACTAAGTAAATGAGCTTAAGTTTTATACAAAAAAATTTGCTTATTTTTTGATAATTGCTTTAGCAAAAATATGGTTATGAATGTGCATATTTAATTTTCTAACTATTATTTTAAATATCATTTTTAGGTATTGGACATCCCACCATTTTGGAATATTAATTGTTAATTTATATACATATATTATTTTTTTATGATAAAATACATGCAGATATTGAGATAATAGTTAATAAATTTTGATTTTTTGATTTAGAATTTTTACCAAAATGTTTTATATTCTTTTAACAATGTTATCATGAATACATGAATTTAGTTTAAAATGTGTGGGTACAAAAAAGTCGAAATAAGTCGAATCTGACTATGAATACAAACGGAGAGAAACCTGAATCTCTATATATTAATTTGATAGATTTTAGTTATTTAAGCGATTTCAACGATTCATTTCCATCTGGAGCAAAAGTGGATATTATTGTGTAGTTTACATCCACTTCTTCAGAGGGCAGTAGTACGCGGCGGTACATTGCGGTTATAGGAAAAAGATCCTCACGTCCTCTCTCAGGTTTCTTTCTGCTACGTAGCTTATACATCCATATTCCGACACTGTCGATAAAATCATAGCAGAGAGAACGTTGAAAATGGATGTGATGCGAGTCCTCCCACAAATTATGAATGAAGTAAGCTTTATTTTGTCAATAAAATTATAACATTATGCTGCGTGTCTGTATATATTTCATTCACAAATTATGGATCAAGAATATTGAATATGTATATACATAATATGTAAACGTAAAGAATAATGAAAATTTGATATTTTTGCATAAAAAATTATTATCGAACTAATTTTTTTCAAAAAGCATTTGAAAGCATTAGAAAGTCTTGCTTATTTGTTAAATTTGTTAAATCAAAATAATAAAATGTGTTTTGTTTAACTGTATCTTTAACATTTTGTTTTGTATTGTTTGAAAAATGAATAATAAATGTTGCAATTTTATAACTATAATTACGACATATTTTAATTATTACCAAAATTAGTTACATCCAAAGTTGGATTAATTTTTTAATTAAAAACGATTAACTATTTTTATTTTCTTTATTTTTTGAAAATGTTTAGTTTTTGCATTACTATTATAAATAAATTACGATTTATTAAAAATTAATTAACAAATAAATTAGAAGCAATAATAAATGTTTTGTGATTTTTGAATCTTAAACTTATAATTAAGCTGACTTATAAGTTTTAATACAATTACAAGAAATTTTGTGTACACGTATTACTAATTATAAAAATTAATATATCAGATACGTTGGAAAGTCTTATCAGTTTGTGTCAGTACTATATGTATAAACGTTTGAACAGTATTCCGTTCATGTAATGTAATGGCAGTGTGACAGTATGGTGCTTTAATGCATGAGTCAACTTGTCTTTTACTCATTGTCAGTGAAATCGTTTGTGCTAACGAACGTCGGCGGTGTTGTTCTTTTAAGATAACAGAAGTAAGTAAATATTACGTTATAATATGTTAAAAATCACAATTGATTTCTGTGTTGTGAAATGGCGACTTTAATAAAATAAGTAATTTACAGAATACTACATTTTGTTAAATTAAAGTGATAAGTGTGATAGATTTATTAAGCAAATTTGTCGTAATATATAACTGAATTTATAATATTTTATAACAATTTGTTATTAAATTTGTATCGTACAGAGGCGAGTAAATTAAAATGAGAATATATCGATAAAATTCAAAAACGTAAATTTATTCATTAAAATAAATTAATGTAATAAATTACGTAACATTAAAATGTGAAATTACAATATCAAATATAAAAACTTTATTAAAAATTTAAATATATAACTGAATTAATTAATAATCTCAAGAAGAATTAAATTAAATAATTAAGGCGCGCTGTAATATTAAAAATAATTTAAACATTTTATAGATTATATTTTAAATCAAATTAATAACAAATTCATTAATTTTACAATTAAAATATCAATTTATTTCTTAACAATTCATGCATTTTTTTAAAAACATATTTTTAATATATTTTATTGGAAATAGATATTACAGTATTTAATACATTTTTA